CACATCTCCCACTGGGGATGTGCCCGCAACCCAGGTACATGCCCTTGACCGGAATTGAACCTGGGACCTTTCAGTCCGCAGGTTGACGCTCTATCCACTGAGCCAAACCGGTTTCGGCTAGGTGAACCTTTTTCTTGGCCCAATCAATTGCTCATTTGGTGCTTCTAGAACTAAAATGATTGCTAAAGACAGATTCTTCTGAGAGGAATGGTAAACCTTTATTTTAAAATGAAGATGTTCAGAACTTCTGATTGTGTCTAGAGCTTTCCATACATCTGTTTCTTTTAACCAGTCTCTGCATGGATTGGCAATGAGGAATACTGTTCTTGTTTTCACACACACAGGAAACAAATGAAAGGACATCAAGTAAACTGCCTATAGTTGTGGGATATAATATTAATATGTTTTGTGCTGTAAATTTGAATTGAGTTCAGACCTATTCATGAATATGAAACTCGTAGGCTGGAGACCTGTAGAGCCTTAATGAGAAAAGACCTAAGAAGAGGGTCGCTGTATTTTCTGCAATGGGCGATTCCTTACCACCTGGAGATTCTGAGATAAAATTCTCTCCACCTAGGAAGAAAGTCCTAGCTTTGGAGCCAGACTGACCTACATTACAATCCCACTTCCACAGTTTCCTCAAGTGACTTTACTTGAACATAGAATAGGCCACAAGCTCAATAATGCCAATTCAATAATTTCCCCCAAAACCCTTCCATGCCAGTCTTACTCTTTCTCCTCTCAAGGTGCAGCTGGAGATTTGAATTTCTTGTATCACTTAGGGCCTGATTGTTTTAAAGTGGCTTGCCTAACTATGCTTCTGTCAGTAACTTCTAATGTGTTTTGTTAACACCTCTTCTAAGAGGAGCCCAGGTGAAGTATCCAGGAGTGACTGCTGGTGTTAATTCCTCCCCGGCATCACCCTGTCACTGAGCTGTCATTAACTGACGTTCAGGTCACAATGACAGCCTTTTTGTTGGTGTGACTTCACCCAGCATGTGATTATCTGGATTTTTAAAAATCTCTTTTCCATTTTAGTTCAGGCTATAAGATTGCAAGGCTGAATAGTAAGTAGGTAAATCTTTTTTTCGGAATCTACCCTCCACAGGTTTCTGCTCCCTGCTCCCCAAGGTCATGTAAAATGCAAGTGGCCCAACCAATAGGATGAACTCAAACTCACATCAAGTGTAAGGACCCTTTAATTTACTATTTATAGCCCATATAAATATGCTTCTAAAAAGATTTGCAGTTTGCACTAAGAGGTTAATTGGTCAAATTTTTATCTTTCTACAATATATAGATATTTAAAATCTTTTTGTTTGTTTTGAAGGGATGGGGGAGAGAGAGAGACATTGATTTTTGTTGTTCCACTTATTTATGCGTTCATTGATTGCTGCTTGCATGTGCCCTGACTGGGAATCAAACCCGCAACTTTGGCATATTGGGACTACACTCTAATCAACTGAGCTGCCCAGCCAGGGTGATTTATATTTTCAATTATTGAAAAACATGGTTGATTTCTGCTTTCTACAAAGGAATGCTATCAAAGATGGATTTTCAGGCTTCTGTAGCTGGGGACCTTCACAGTGCTACACTCAAACCACACTGTGTGGACAGCGCCTTTCATTATGTCTAGTCTCTGCTGGTGTGCCTTACCTTTAATAACGAATATTCCTGAAACAGTTTACATAATTATTGGAGATAGACTTCTAAAGGTTCCATGTCCAACATGATAGCCAGGCTATTGAGCACTTAAAATATGGGTAGCCTGAATTAAAATGAGCAATAAGTGTAAAATATGCAATAGGGACCTAAATGTTTCATTAATATTTATATTATTTGTTAAAATCACATTTCAAATATATTGTTAAAATTAATTCCAGCTGTTTTCGTTTCTACTGGGGCTAGTGAAAAAATTTTAATTACATTTGTAGCTCTTTTATTTCTATTTAATAGGACTGATCCTCTAATCTGATCCCTTCATTTTAGAGATAAGAAAATCAAATAGAAATGAGAGATATTAAGTGACTTGCTTTAAATCCCATAGCATCTTAGTAGTAAGATTTGAGTGATGCTAGTCTCTGGTGTACTAGATGTGACCTTGGACCAGTTACTTGATGCCTCTGTGTCTCACTTTCCTTGTCTGTAAATTAGGGATAATACTGCTACTTATCTGTAGGTGGGTGTGCAGATTTGAATGACATATGTTAGGCATATATGTATGGCATAATATTCCATAATGTCTCATAGTATCAATTTTATCTTGGCAAAAGAAAGAAAAATATTTTTAGCCTCTTTTCTGTCCCAGAAATCTTCCATCATTGAAGAGTTTGTGGTCAAAGCTGGTTGTTAGGACATCTTTTTTTTTTTTTTCCATGGGATTGCCTTTAGACCCAGCAATCCCATCTCTGGGAATATATCCTAAGAATCCAGAAACCCTAGTTCAAAAGAATATATGCATTCCTATGTTCATAACAGTGCTATTTACAATAGCTCAAGTGCTTCATCAGTAGATAAGTGGATAAAAAAGCTGGGATACATTTACACAATGGATTACTACATGACCATACAAAAGAAGGAAATCTTAACCTTTGCCACAGCATGGATGGACCTGGAGATTATTATGGTAAGTGAAATAAGCCAGTCAGAGAAAGACAAATACCATATGATTTCACTTGTATGTGGAGTCTACTGAACAAAATAAACTGAGGAATAAAATAGAAACAGAGACATGGACACATGGACCAGACTGACACTGTCAGAGGGAAAAGGGTTGGGGGGACTAGATGAATGAAGGTGAAGGGATTAGCAAAAAAAACCCCAAAAAACCTAACCCACACATATGCGTAACGCATAGACACAGACAATATGGTGATAACCAGAGGGAAAGGGAGGTGGGGTTAGGTGGAGGTGGGCAAAGGGGAAATCTGAATGGAAAAAGACTTTGCTTTGGGTGATGGGCATATGATGCAGTAAGCAGAGGATGTTTTATTGAGTTGTACACTTGAAACCTGTATGGTTTGCAAACCAATGTCACCCCAATAAATTCAATTCAATTAAAAAAAATAAAGTGTTCAGAATGGGTGCCTGGTCAGAAAAAAAAAGACATCAAACATGCCAATTTCCCTCCTATCTCTCTGGTCACTATTATTTGTCTAAAAAAAAGAAAGAAAAAGAAAAAAAACTCACCCAAAGAGTAGTTTTCTTTAACTGGCTTTTCAAAATCATGGTGAGATTTTGATAATTAATCTTTGGTTATGCTTTGGTAACTATACCAGATACTGTTATAACTGAAAACTTGGTGTGTTTTCGGAGTTAGATTATTGAAACAATTTTCAATAATCAGATTTCAAATATTTTAACATTTAAATATTATAATTGTCATATACATTTACTTTAAAGGTTTTTCACTTAAAAATATACTTGATCATATGTGCAGTCAAAATTCTTTATCTTTTTCCCCTTCATGCTCACCACCCATCCCATTTTTCCCCCTCATTGCCTGCTGTTCCTTCCTTGTAACACTTCCCACAGGAGATGGTGTTTTGCCCAATCTCTGCTCTGTACCATAATCCTCACCAAAGCAGCACGATGACTGGTTATTCCCCACCATGCCAGACACACTCTAGGCAAAGACTTTTTGAATAGATGAATGTAGTTGACCTTGTGATTCTTCATTCATTTTTCCCCTCTGTATTACACTCCCTTAGCCAGTTTTATAATTAGAATGCAGAAATGAAGGTCATTACTTATACTCATTTGGCCAAATGTCTTAAAGCCACTTGGTTTCTTTACACGTAGTTACAAAATTCTTTAAATGTTTTCAGTTGAGAATCATTTTATTTATTTGAGCCAATATGAGTCAAGCCAATGAGGAATTTTTAAACTAGTTATGAAATGAAGAAAGTTTCAGATAGCAATGGAAACTTTTTTGAGCCAATGGTATAGTATCTGGAAAATCACTCTTTAAATGATAATTTTTAACATTTATTAATATCATTGACTAAATATTTAAAGCCTCTTTCAACTTGACTAGTCTCTGAGCCATTTATTTTCCCACCGAAACTTTAAGTGAATTTAATAAATCTGTTATATTACTAGATGTATCAAAATACACCTCAGGGTCAATGTTTGTTTCAGTTTGCCATCTCAAAATAAAATTATATACAATTAATGTTCTCAAAAGGAGATCGCAGTTTAGTCATTTTCAATGCATTCCAGTGAATTAGGTAATTGAGCTGAACTTACACATATGCGTGGTTTCACTGCAGGAAGTCTCCTATTCCTACATCAACAGTTGGTTTGGTGTCTAAAATGTTCACAGTTTGGTTAAAATTATGCTCAGTAACAAATGTAGTACTTCCACCAAGGAACATAGAATCAAATGACACTTCTGGTGGTCTCAAAATATGTTGACTAAAGCTCACTGTTACTGAAGTGCTGATCGAAAGAAGTTATTTCTCTGAGCATTGCTGAAGGGAGAGGGAGAAATGTGTGGAATCCTGACTGGAATGCTGCCTTTATCCATACCACTTGGGTTTGGAACCAGGAAATCATTATAAAAATTGTAATTGGCTCTTTTATTATTTACTCATCCAACTTAATGGAAAAGACAACTAGAGAGTCAAGTCTACTTTTAGGATTATTAGGTCAATTATCCGTATTTCTGGGAGGAAATAAACATGCCAATAAAAAAGCTATATACTCTGGCAATTCTGCCATATTTTACTGCCAGCTTTATTTAAACTACTTTTTCCATTTTTAAGGAAATAACTTCTCTTGTTCTTTGAAAAACTGTGTATGCTGAATTCTTACAATGATATTAGTCTGCCTGTTATTTGAGTTATGATTAGATTTTATATTACTTGGATTTCTTAGAATAAAGTATGTTCCTCATGCAGAAATTTAGGATAATACTGAACGTGGTAGACTTAATTGACATTTTCAAATTCCATTGTAGTCAGCAAGGAAACAATGGCTAACATTTACTGAGTACTCACTGCGTTCCGGAAACTGCAGTAGGAGCTTGACCAGTGTTCTCATCCATTTATCACAGCATCTTACTAAGTAGGTCCACTTATTCCCATATCACAGATGAGGAAACGGAGCATATGAGGATTAAGTAACCTAGGTATAGAAACATAAGGTAACTTTTCCAAGATCACATAGTTGGGGGTTCTGATATGTATGGCATTGATTTTATAGATAACAATACTGCCATCTTAACACTCCGGTGTGGGGTGAATTTCCCGCCAAAATATAAGATGGCTCTGTCTTTTGGTTTTGTTCCATCCACCAAAAGGGTGGATTACAAACAAATATTTGGTAATACGCAGTTACAATCGGCCCGAGTTTACACGTTTCCCGCACTCCACCGCAAATCTATATGAACCGAGTTAAAGACGGCTCCCGCGGAGTACGCGCAATTCACGCGAGCCGACTTAACTCGTTTCCCCCACTCCAAGTGTTAATATTGTTGTCTTCTGATTTGTGAACATGGGAGTTTTTTCCATTTACTTAGATTTTCTTTATTTTCAATAATGTTTTGTAGTTTTCAAAGCATAAGTTTTATACTTTTTGTGTTACATTTATTACTAAATATTATATTTTTGATGCTATTATAAATGGAATTGTTTTTTTCTTTCTTTAATTTTTGGATTGTTTATTGCAAGTGTATAGAAATACAAGTGGCTTTTGTATATTGATCTTGTATCCTGCAACCTTGCTGAACTTATTAGTTCTAATAGTACTTTAGTGGATTTCTTAGAATTTTCTGTATACAAAATCATATCATCTGTGCATAGAGATAGTTTCACTTCTTCCTTTCCAATCTGGATGCTATCTATTTATCTGTTTATCTTTTTATTTATATTGATAGATTGATTGCCTAATTGCTCTGGCTAGAGCCTGAATAGAAGTGGCAAGAGTGGGCACCCTTATCTTGTTCCTAATTTTAGATGGAGGGCATCTCATCTTCCACTATTAAGCATGATGTTAGGTTGGGTTTTCTGTAGACGTCCTTTATCAGGCTGAGGAAGTTCACTTCAATTCCTAATTTGTTGAGTATTTTTTTATCATGAAAGGGTATTGGATTTTTTTCCCAGAGCTTATTGAAATGATCACGTGGTTCATTTTTTATTTTATTGATGTGATAGTTTTTAGTTTTATGTGCTTACAAAAATTGATTTTTTTTCTAAACTTATGGAAACCATACTAAGGAACAGTACAAACCTCATGCTATGAAAAAGCATATACTTTACATAGATTGTCTTTTCAAAAACAAATTAACTTTTTGGGTTGTAAAAAACAAAAGTGAAGGAATAGCTTCAATTGGGTAAAATTTTGTGCAAGTGAAAATATTTTTGTGCTTTCCTCTCAGTGGTTATGTACTCAGAATTTTAAAGTTGTTTTTAAACTTGTAATTTTCTTTACTTTTTCTAGTTGGTGATCCCGATATTTTTATCTTTTCAAGCATTTATGAAAATTCTATTTTTAACTACATCACTTTAATCAATTTTTGTTTAGTTATTAGTTCAAAGCAATTAAATAAATAGGAAGTAAAATACAGTCCTGGGCCTTTTTCAAACAACTGTGCACTTTGAGCATGAAAGCACAACTTTGATTTGTGCTACTTTGGGTATAAATAGTGATGATGTACTTCCCTTTTTTTTCATATTTAAGGGTCCACCCAGAAGTTTGCAACTATATTGAGTCCCGGAAATGTTCTCATTCATTTTTCTTGCCTGTGATATAATCTCTTAGCATAGTTGGTTCAAAAATAATCATGTTAAATGGGCCCAGATCATGTGTTTGAGCCTGTTAAAGCTACCTTTTCTGTTTCCTGAGAACAGATTGCAGACCAGGTCCCAGCCAAATAGCACTTTCTCGCCATTGCTTACCAAGTGCCGTGGACTAGAGGATGTGGACAGTTTCATGCAGTCAGGCCCTGTCCCTGGACAATTGGCCACAGAGGGCTTGTCTCAAACAGTCGCCTTCATTGAACAAAGGACAGTATGTGCTTACTTTAAGTTCTAAAATTTAACTAAAATATATTTGGTTAAGGTAAAAAAGGTTATTTTAAAAATATTCAGGATCACGGCGGTGCTGTTAGGGATTAAAATAGTCTGAACAGACTGTAATTTCGGGGTTTCTGAGATCCACGTAGAATTAGCATAGCCAGCTGAATATAAAAATGGCAATACAACACTCAATGTTATTTCTACTCCTCCCCCCCGCCCCAATTGGTATTTTCCACATTCTATGTGTTTTTATGTGTTTTGTTTTGAGAGAGAAAGCATGATCATTAGGGAAGTATTCTACAACCTTTTCTGAAGGAGAAGATACATTTTGGTCTTTGGAAACAACTGCATTGCATTTAAAAGGTATGAAGGGAAGTTCCTTAGCCTGTGCTGGATTTGGGAGGCAGCACAGAATAGTGACTAGGAGTCCAGTTCCAGAGTTAGACACAGCTCTCTGTGTTTCAGTATTTCCCATCTGTTAAATGGAGAGGAAAATAGTGCCTACATCAGAAAGGAAAACTTAAACAAGATACCATAGGTAGGTAAAGAGCTTAGAACAGTGGCTGGCAAGTAAGTGATCATTAAATGTGAACTGCAGGTGTGGTAGTAGAAATAGGTGCACTATTACAGCTGTAAGACTGATGCAAAATGAAGTTCATGAAATTAGAATCAGTAATAACTCATACAATTTACTTAGTGTATAGCAGGGCGCATAATCTAAACCCTTATCTCCACCCTCATGAGTGGCCTATAAATGATTTAGTTTCTTCAGAGAATTTCTCATATCAGCTCACCTGCAAAAAAGGCATGCAAGGGAAAACAAGCTCTGTGGAACTCTGAGTGTGGATTCTACACATTAAGAACACTTTTAGAAATTACAGGTGCTCATTTCGAGGTCACTTTGGCAGTGGAAGGCATAGCAGTTATTTCCAGAAGACTAAAGGAAAATCTGTACTGGACTAGGTTCTGAAAATCCACTACCTAGAAACTGTGTTGAAATACCAGACCTTTGAAAACTAGCATTCAGGTTACCAAGAACCACCATGCAGATAGATGGCTGGTTCCTACAGATTTTCACGAGGCTACTTTTCCTCCCACCTTTTGTGAGCCTCTCTGTTCCCTGGTATGGCCATCATGAAAACACAGGTGACTCATGGCGAAGTTGCCTGGGGGCCAAAAGAGGAACTACCTGGGGCTCTTTCCTGGCACATCCCTACCCTGTCAGTTAGGAGATGGGTTATGCTCACACTTTCTCTGATAGCCAGTCATGCCCACCTCCAGTATATCTTTCATACACATAAACACCTCAGGAAAATTCCACTTTGCCACCTTACTGTTTGTGATACTAAACAAAAAATCTTGAAGAACACAACTCTCCCAATTTCCTAGAGATTTCTAATGAAAATCCTAGTGAGCCACTACAGACCTCGGCCAGCAGTCTTCAAAGTATGCAGGACCTTTGGTATTCTCTACCCAAGTTCAGCTCCTACAACTAAATTTGCTTTTTCAAGTACTGACATTCCAGATAATTTTTATTGTTTAATTTATTATTATTTTGATTATAACACTAATTAAAATAATTTTCCTGCAACTATATATGCAGATATATAGGACTTCATCTCTACTGTGGACTCTTTGGCCTGAGAAAATACATTCTGGGATCTTAATTATAACGGTGACTTTTAGGCCATAACTTGTTAGAAAATTGGCACCTGCCTGCATGTTTCTTATCATAATCAAGAGCAGTGTGAAGTTAGGTATTCCTCAATGGTCGCAATTCTTTTCATAACCTCGGGACTATCCTTCAGAGTTTCTTCTCAAGATGTATACCCATCAGTTGATACTTTCTTTTAGAGTTATCATTTATATTGATTTCGGTGCTATTTCCATAAGAATGTTTACTAGTGCAGGCGATTTGGGGGTCTCAGTCTACTTGGAATCATGGCACTTCAGAGCTGAATCATCTGGCCCAGTGATCTCATATTTCAGAGGAGATAATGAAACACAGAAGGTTAAGTGACTACTTAAGGCCACAAGGCTGAGATGGAGGCAGGAGACATTAGGATTTGGATCTGGTGCTCTTTCTAGCAAGCCTTACAGATTAATTTTCAGTTGATGTGCTATAGTATATATTCCGATTATTACCTTTCTCCTAAAAAAGGATGACTTAAAAATTGATTATACATTAGTCAACTTTTCTATTGTTGATCTAAGAGCATTTTTTTTTCAATCATACTGTCTTTTTTTATTTTTGAGAAATTTCAAAGTCCTTACATAAAGTTTGTCACTCTCTTGAGGCATTTCAATTTTTAAATTAAATTTTTAAAATTTATTAAGTTAAATGTTCCTTCTGATTTTTTGGACATGATTGTGGCCTTTCATTTTTAAACATTTCTTAGCATTATTCACTCTCTATTTTGTTGAGTAGGCTTTGCACAAGAGCAGGTAATGACATCTTGTACCATTATATTAGTGGTTCTCAACCTTGGCTGCACATTAGAATCACCTGGGAATCTTTTTTAAATCCTGATTTCTGGGCCTCATCTCTGGAAATTCTGTTTCTTTGTTACTAATGCTGTGGCCCCACCCCATAACAAAGAAACAGAATTTCCGGGGGATGAGGCCCAGAAATCAGGATTTTAAAAAGATTCCCAGGTGATTCTAATGTGCAGCCAAGGTTGAGAACCACTGCCTTATATGAACACGAAAGAATTACACACACAATTCCAGTGTGGGTAGACGCTCTTAGAGATTATGGAACTGTTTTAAGCAGGATTGAAATACCATCAATTATACTTGGATTTTAACTCATAAAATATTAAGTTAGCAAGGCCTACTTTAATTATTTTTAAAGCCAAAATGTATAAACAAATTTATAATTCAAATAAGCATAGTTTATTTCCCTCACTTTAGGCTATTGCTAACTTTCCTCCATATACTTAAATATTCTATATTCCTATATTCATTGAACCTAACAATCCTTTTAGAGTTATTTTCAGGTTTTTCACTTAGCTCATTTTACTCTAGTTTAAAAATATTATCCTACAATAGCCAAAAGGCAGAAACAACCGAAATGTCTATCAGTAAATGAGTGGATAAACAAAATAT